CCCGCTGCTTTTCTAGTGAGCAGTGTGTGCAGGGAGTGGGGAGTGCTGCCCGACAGCCCTGCCCCGCACGCAGCCCCCCAGTGCCTGCTGCAGGGCCGCCCACTTCAGCTGGACACACATGAGGGAGAGAGTTTTCTAGGCTGCCCCTGGGAGGTAATGTTCTCTCCAATCTGGGGTTTTCTCTCCTCTCTCCCCTTTTCTTCCTTTCACTGGAAAAGACACGAACAAGCCCAAGAACCAACAAGCAGGAGCCTCCCTACACACTGTCAGGAGCTGGGGCGACACTGAATCACCAGCCATGTCGGGAAAGCGCTCCCTTCACTTCCCTTCTCTTTCCTCCCAGAAAGGTAGGTGATGTCCGGAGGGGAAAGAGGCAACTTTTGGTAGCTAAGGGATTAGCAATGGGCAGGGAGGGGCCTCCTTTGTTCATCTCTGGGAATTAGGCTGGTCCCATAAGCCCTCCTCTCCACCAGCTGAGCTTTCCCTCCTCTCTGCCAGCAGAGGCCCCGCAGCAGCGTTTCCCGCGGGCCCCACTTGCTCCTCGCCTGTTGCTGCTTTCTCGTCTCTCCCCAACCCATCCCAGGCCCAGGGTGGGCTGACTCTGGCCTCCTACAAGGTCAGTCTTCTCAGCAGCAGCAGCAGCAGGGTCTACTCCCTAAGGAGCCCCCAGGAAGACCAGAGACCCCATCCTGGAGCCGGGAGTGGAGGAGGGTGTTGGTGTGAATTACTCAGTGGTAGAGAGATATCACACCCACAGAGAAGCATCAAAGCATATATAGCCCCCCCCTTCATCCTGGGGGCTATACAGAGGGTCCCCTGCATCCCGGCCACCATCAGTCATTGGTTCCCTTCCTTCTCACCAAGCACCCATGGCACCCTGCTTGGTGCCCCCATAAGAGCCTTGCTGTCTAAGATGAACACCCAGTCGGGCACACACACTCCTCCTTCCAGAGCTGTCCCAGCAGGTGTCAGCCCTCCTGGCAGAAAACCAGCGTGGCCCTAAACAGGTGTCCCAAGTGTCTGGGGTGTGATGTTAAGTCAAGTTCAGTTAGGTTCTTGTCCGGCCTGCTGGGCTCCTGCCAGCCCAATGCTGGATCAGATAAGGGTGCAGGTGGGGACCTATGGGACAGCCCGGCAGTCTCAGCACCCCCCAAAGCCCCACCCTGTGCCCTTCACCTGTAAGGATAGAGAAATTGTGCACTACCTCCAGAAGATGATCTGCCCCAGGGATGCCATGGCGAGGGCAAGGGTCCCTTCCCACAGTGCGCTGGGTGCTGGGTGAGTGGAGCCACCTCTGCCCTCCCGGTGCTGTGACTCACAGCCAGCTGGGGTGCGCTGGTCTTAAATAACGAGCTCAGGCCGGGAGTGGTGCGTGCAGCGGACGCCTCAGGTATGAGGAAACAGCACTGCTTGCAGACGTCCCTGCAGGCGCAGAGGCTGCTGCTCCCAGCTGGCCGGGGGGCCAGGCGTGCGGAGCTGCCTTTCCAAGCCTTGACCTGGTGAGAGAGTGACAGAGAAACGCTTCCCAGGCCCCCTGCTCCAGGGCTGGTATTCAGCACAGGCCTGTTCCTCCTGACCCCGTTGGGGTGGGGGAGCAGCAGGGATGGAGATGCCATCTCCAAATGAGAAAGGACTGGAACAGGTCAGAGTGTCAGCGCTGTGCCGAGAAGCTGGGAGGCTGGGATCCCCATGCCTGCGGGCCGCTGCTGCAAAGAGGCTGGGTCCCCAACGGGGGCCTCTCTTGGAGGAGAGTCATACTTAGGGACCTCAGAAAGGTTGTGAGTCAAAGTGACAAGTGTGCTGAGTTTGTCACCTAAGAGCGAACTTGCATCAGGCACTGAGACTGCCCAGCAGGGTGGGTGCGTCTCTTCTGGCTTTATTTCAGTGAAAGGGTGAGAGGTTTTATGTCAGTGAAAAGGTGAGAGGTTTTATTTCAGTGAAAGGGTGAGAGGTTTTATGTCAGTGAAAAGGTGAGACGTTTTATTTCAGTGAAAGGGTACAGGGACCCCAGGACTGAGCATGTCCAAGCTGGAGCGCACCATCTTTCATCTCTAACCCCTGCTCCCCCTGGGCTAACCCGCTTGGAAAACGGCTGCATCACATGCCAGATTGCTCGAGTCCGAAACCTGAACGTCTCCCTCTACTCTCCCCTCCCCTTGCCCCCTACATCCCAGTGCTCCCCAAGTTCCCTGACTCTTCCTTCTTGTATTAGTTTGCTCTGGTTCCCATAATAGAGTCCTGAGGACTGGGTACCTTAAACAACAGGAATTTATTTCCTCACAGTTCTGGAGGCTGGCAGTCCAAGATCACAGTATCACCAGGATTACTTTCTTCTGAGGCCTCTCTCCTTGGCTTGTAGACGGCTGTCTTTTCCCTGTGTTGTCACATGGTCCTCCTTCTGTATGCCTCTGTGTCCAAATCTTATAAGTAGAGCAGTCATATAGGATTAGAGCCCTTTAACTTAATCACCTCTTTAAAGACTATCTCCAAATACAGCCACATTCTGAGGTGCTGGGACTGAGGACTTCAACATGAGAATTTTTTAGAGGAGAATACAGTTCTGCCCATAATGCTCCTCTATGCCTCTCAAAGCCACCCCCTTCTCTCTGTCCCCAATGGTATCACGTAAGTCAGTCCCTCCTCATTTCCCATTCGAAGTGAATTATTCAACAGTCTCCTATCTCATTGCCTGCTCCCAGTCTGCCCCTGCATGGGCCAGATTTTGCTCCGAGGCCCCCCGTTCTCACTCTGTATACGAGGCATGCTGAGCTGCTGTGGGTTTCCCCAACGTGTCATGCTTTCCCGGGCCACTGCGCCTTTGTACATGCTGCTCCGTCTGCCTGGAATCCATCGCTCGCCTTTTTCTTGTTTTGTATGAATTCTGTGGAAAACTTTTGGCCACCACTTCAATCTGACAGGTGCCGCACTCTGGGCTTCCATGTGAACCTCCTGCCTACTTCTGTGCTCCTAACTTGTGATTGCTGACTTGTCCAGCTCCTTCACTGGACGCTCCTTAAAAACAGACAGGCGTTTTATTCATTTTTGTATTTTCCAACAGCATAAGGCGCGTTAGCGGAGTAAGGGATCATTAACACGTTTGTTGAATAAATGCACATTTTCCTTCCATAGCACACAATAATAGCACTGTTTCCTGCTTATGCATCCATCTCATCACTAGGCTGAGACTCCTAGAGGGTAGAAACTGCCTCATCCATCTTCGTGGCACCCAGTCCTAGCACCATGCCAGATACATAAAAATGACTTGGTAATATTTGATGGATGGGCGATCAGGGATCAACCTGGAGTGTAATCCATCAAACCCTCGTAAACTGAGACGTCTCGTAAGCTGGGTTGAGGCTATTAGAAGCAGGAGAGAACAAATTGCATATGAGATGGAGAAACAGTTTAGGGTCAGAACAAAAGGTAAAGCAGATGTGTGAAACAAATACAAAATCTGTTTTCTCTTTGTTGGTCTTGGGGGAGAGAGACAGAGAGAGAGACAGAGACAGAGAGATAGACAGAGACAGAGCAGAGAGACCAACACTAACTCAATGTTATCTGGAACCGAAAGGTCTTCTCTTGATTTTTTTTAAAAAGTGGTTTAAACAGCCCACTCTCCTGGAACTCTGTGTTCTCACTGAATATCTGTATATTCCCCTGTGCACCAGCTGAGAGCTCCCCTCGTAGCCTATGCTGGCTGACAGAAGAGCATCATCTATGTGGGGAGCTTTGCACTTTTCACAAAAGACGAGGGGAGCTCATGTGATCCTTGCCATAACCCTGTGGGTTGAGTTTTACAAATGGGAAACTGAGTCTCAGAGGTTAAGGGATTTGTTCAAGGTTAATATTTTGAGTTTCCTCAGGCCTCCTTGCCTCATCTTTGTCCCTGGTCTGGTCACACGGCATCCCACACATTCCAACGTAGAGTCTGAGATTGCCACTTGTATAGATGGGATCATAGTCATGAAAATAAAGATTTCACCAGCTCTTGAACATACCTTTGGAAGGTCAGGGCATTTCCTCTTTCCAGACCCCTCCCTGCACCAGTGCAGGAGACCACCCAGCCCCTCATTGTTACTGTTATCATGTTAGTTGTTAATTGTTAACTCTCCTATACCCACCTATGTAAAAGAAATACGTGTCTATTCGTTTTACTTTTCATCCAATCCCAGAGATGCCCCCCTTTGCTTCCCCACCCCCCAACTCCCTAATCTATCATCAGTGGGTTTTAGGTAACCCCCTTACACCTTCCCTTATTCTGATGTATAAAATAAGTGGTAAAACTACCATTCTCTGCAGTGTTTTCTCAGTCCATTGAGATTTTGCTTCCCTGCAATTGTCATCAGTTTGTCTCAAATAAACTCATAAAAACTCTTACAGGTTAGATGTTTCTTACATCGACAGTGGGAAGAAGACAGGACTAGTTGGATGGCTAGTAACCTCCGTTACCTCTACCAACAGCCAGTCTCAACCACCAGACCTATGAGTAAGGCCATCAACCACTGGCTGACTTTAAATAACATATATTGTTAGAGATTGGGGGTGCCCCTCTCTTATTTCCTCTACCTGCCTTTAAGTTTTCTAAGACCTGAGATCAGAATTTGTATAATTTCATATGCAGGCTTGTTGTATTTTTCATGCCTAATTTCTGACCATGCCATTTCCCATCAAGTTTCTGACTCTAGGGCCAAACACTGCTGTGACCAGTGTTGGCACCCAGTCCTCATCTTTGTCCCTGGTCTGGTCACACGGTATCCCACACATTCCAACGTAGAGTCTGAGATTGCCACTGAACAAAGGGATCTAGTTACTTAAGAAATAGTGGATCCATTTATAGTATAAGAAGGGGGAGAGGAGGCTGTTTTAGAAGCATACGAGGAAGTTGCTATTCAGGTTGATTAGGTTATGCAAACAGAAATGAGTTAGCTGTCAGGAAAACACAAGGCCAAGTGGAAATCTCAAGCTGGAATCATGGTTTCAAGTGACTGTTTTTTGCTTTCTGAAATCACAACCTTATTTTCTTTTTTCCATCAGAGCCAAGTTCAGTGACTTTTGCCAGGGCCTTGTAAGTCATTTTCTTACCCAACGATAAAACCCATGGTTTATTTCTCAGCTTGCCGTTCATGAACTACAGGAAAACAGACTCCGAACTAACTCAGCTGATGTCACTCTCTTGCCGTTGGAAGTAGGGTCGTTTCATGGGATTGCAAGGAAAGCATTCTGAGAGACCCCCATATGGGAGACTGGGCAGGGCAGTCTCCCATAAGATTTATTTGAGTGGAAATAGAAGGCTTCCCCCAGGTTCCTGTTGTCTCATGTACTTCTGTCCAGCAGTGGAAAAAGTCCAGCCTTGTCTTCATCAAGCCCAGAACGAAGACCTGTGTCCAGAGATTCTGTGCCATAGTCCTTTGGAGCTTAGTCTTTTGGAGCCTGCACGGTCTGCGGTGGGTCTCAGGCGGCTGCTAGACCCACAAGGCTTTTACAAAACAAACGAACGAACAGGGCAAGCTGTGAGAGAGAGACAGAGACAGAGACACACAGAGATTCTTTGTTAAGCTGATTATGTTATCTCAGGCTTGGGAAGGACTAGGCCTCTTTTCAAACTAACCAACCAACTTCCCAAGCTTTAGCAGGCTGACGCTGGCTCCTCCCCATAACCAAACACTTTCCTAGATCTTCCCGGGATCTGTGTCCCTTGTGCAATCCAGTCCTTTTCCCAGCTGGACTGACAGGCCTCCAAGGTCTCCATCTGGGCTCATCTTGTGCATGCCTCAAAGTGCAAGTACCTCCTCCTGCACCACCTTGACTTCTGCTGGGCATGTGCCCAGCAGAGGATTCTCCTGCCGTTTTTTGTTCCTCCCCCAGTATGCCTGCTTTGGGGGATTAGGCCCCCAGGGCAGAGGATGCCCTGGAGAGTGTGTGAGGCTGCAACTTCCTAGGGAAGCAAGCCTGTGTTCCCTACTTGATTATGCTTAATAATGTCTGATTTCCTTTGGTCCCTTCCTTTATTAATATCTAGCTACCTATGGGAACAATTCCTCTTCGCAGTGGTTATAATTTCGTGAGAACTGCTACTTGACCAAGCACCTGGGTGGGCCAGTGGCTCCTGTTGCTATTAATTAAATAAGGGGGAAAACAGGCATCCTATGAGGAGCCCTGGCTAAAGATCTAGGTGGTCATTTAAGGGGCCTGGGAGCTAAGTGTTTGTTGTTGGGTTTTACCTCTGACACTGATCTGCTGTGTGACCTTGAGGAGGGCTCTTCACCTTTCTGTCCTCAGTTTCCTCATCTGTAAGGTTATACTAGTGAAAATTTTACAC